ACTCCCAGTTGGCTGGGGAATTCTGGGAGTTGAAGTCCACGCATCTTCTAGCGGCCAAGGTTAAGAAACACTGCCTTGAGCCCTCCTGAGTGCAAATTCTGGGAGTTATTCCAGCCCATCCCCGTGGGGAGAGAGCCTGGCCAATGGAAGCATTTCCAAGCCCTTGGAAATCCAGGCTCCCGTGCTCAGCTGCCAGGGCACGCTGGAAGCCCCCTTCCTTTTTCTCCCCGAAAATCAGTGCCTTTCCATGCCGAAGGCAACAGGCGACCCCAAACCTTGCCTGCTCAGGACTCTGCAAATTCAGCCACCCCCCCCCCCGCGCAGGACGTCGCTTCCTCCCCAGCCGTGCAGAGGGAGTGAGAACTGCAGAATTTGCAGCCCCGGCTTTGAAGCCCCAAGGGGTGCAGCCTGCATCTTCCCTTTGCACGGTGGCGATGTTTAAATTGCACAAGGCGGGGAGGGGGGAGATACGAAAAGGACGGCTTTAAAACACCCCTCCGCTCGCTTTTATTCTGACCTGTTTTCAAAGGAGATGGGGAGGGGAGGTCAAGGCGCCAAACTTTGACCTGGGAGGAAGGAGCAAGAGAGACCCCCCCCCAGCAACCCGTGCAGGGGAGGGGGAGAGGGGTGCTGAGTCACCACTTTGGAATTACTTTGGCTGACCCGGGAGGAACTGAACCGGGCAGGGGGAGAGGAGATGGGCCAGGGCAAGAAATCCGGGGGTGGGGGAGGGACTAGAGCTGCAGGGAGACGGGGTCCGGCTTTGCGGTTGCCTTCTCCACCAGCTTCACCAGGTGGTCCCCTTCAATGTGGAAGACGTGCCAGGCGTCTCTGACGGTGACATTGACGGCTCCTTTCTTGGTGAAGAACTCGGTCGCCGGCTGATGTTTCTCGGCCGAGATGAACCGGAACTCGGAACAGCCTTTTTCCAGCGCAACCTGGGGGCAAGAGGTTAAAGGCAGGTCGGCCTGACTCTGGAGGGGCCCTTGGGGCCCCGGGGCCGGAGAGGGGAAGACGCGCTGGCCAGGCTGCTTCCCGGCCCCTCCCGTTGGTCTCACCTTGGCTGCTCCGTTCAGCAAGGCGGTGCCAATGCCTCTCCCTGGCCAGGAATACGAGACAGAGAGAGAGAGAGAGAGAGAAATGCATGGCGTGAGCCATCTTCGGCTTTTGAATCGAGTCCAGGGTTTGATTTGGCCAGGAGGCTGCTTAAATCCAGCACTGGGGTCAAGCGGGTCTTGGAAAGCACATCCAAGCAAGGCCGTTTCTCAAGGCGTTCGAGATTTCTGCTAGTTACATCAACTCGCTTTTCGCTTCTAGGGTGAAGCAGTGGAGTTTATATATGTTTCTGAACTGCGCACGGTCGGCCCTTCGAGGTAGACCGGACTAGGGAACCCCAGTTAGGAATACAAATGCTACACGTATTACAGGGCTACAGTAACGCACTGTTTTTCAAGCTTGGCGACTTTCACATGTGTGGCACTTCACCCCCCCAATTCTCCTTCAGCCTACTAACCCCCGGAGCTTTGGGGGGTGAAACCACCCCACTCACGAGTCTGCAGCGTGA